TTGCCTTTTTGTTCCCTCTTTTTTCCTTGGAATGGAAGCTTTCTCTCCCTACATTACCCAAGAAGAGACAGCAATTGTGGCTATATAACAAAGCTACACACATACCCTATAACATCCCACCATCCCGGCAGGAGCCAATACCAGCTGCTACACATTACAGAGATAGCCAACACTTGCTAAGATTACTCTCAGTTGAGTAATAAGAGACACGAAAAGGGAAGCCCATCTCAGAACACATCCACAAGGAGGCACTCAGTAAGCTTAATAATACAGCAACATGCATTCATTTAATCAGTGAAGACATATCTAATCTAAAATGTCCAAGAAACCACAAAGGATCTTGGAACATGTCCAGAAACAGAAAAGAGTAACAGACAAATGAACTGGAGGTAGGCATAGACTTCCCATTAGAACAAGAGCAGGCTTTGGATTTGCCTGAGAATGAATTTAGGAAAATAATATGGAGAGATCTAAATACTTCACAGAGGGATGGAGGAAAATAAGGAAGTCAGGATAGTGCTACAGGAGCAATCAAATAAGATAGCTATAACATTGGAAACAATTCAAAACCTGAAAAAAGAGGTCTGAATGATTAATAATAAAATATCAGAAATGGACAATACACTGAAAGGGCAAAGGAGTAAAACTGAAGAGATAGAAGCCAGAACAGATAAATCTCTCAATACTGCTAAGATAGAAGAGCAAGCAGAAAAAAGGATTAAAAAATCTCAAGAAAGTCTAAGATTCATGTTGGACAACAAGAAGAGGAATAACTTAAGAAATACTGGCATTCCGGAACAAGAAGAATCACACAAGTCCACAGAGGATGGATGAACCTTGAAGACATTATGCTGAGTGAAATTCATCAGTCACTAAAGGAGAAATAGTACATACTACCACTATTGTAAAAGCTTAAGAAAAGATATCCACACTAAAAGGAAGCAAAGGAAAAAAGGAAAAATTCTTTGTTGGTTTCCAGGGGGATAGGGATGGGGGAAAGAAGGGAGGGACGGTAGAGCACAGGGTGGGGATAGGCACATCACAGTTCGAGTGGAGGGGGAGGGGGACAGAAGACACAAGGTAGACAGGAGACCACTTAGGCAGGCTTGCATGGGCTAAATGGGACAGAGGTAAACAGTGAAAAGGGCTCTGTGATACAGGGTTGAGGCGTAGTCTGAATGGGTAAAAGAGGGGAAATAATCTTAAGATGTTTGCCTGTCTTATTAATATTTGTATCCCTTGTCTGCTATTGTAAAATTGACACTTGAGGAGGATAGAAAGGAATATCCGGAAATATGACTATAGAAAGCCTGTAAACCTGCCTTCAGCCTATAACTGATTGGAATACCTAAAAGGAGTGCTAGAACTTGCCCAGTGAAAGGGGCTTCTTGCAGTGCCTCTGTAGGTATACGACCTTAGGTGGAATCCTGATCCTCATCCAGAACCTTCTAAGATGGGAAATTCGCACTTGAAAAGATAAGCAGATCAGCCTGGAGTAACTAGAGGAACAGAATATACTTCTTGAAAGAAAGACCAGCAGGGAAAAACAAAAACAGCAGTCTGATTGGCTACTATAAGAACAAGCAAGTTTTCGCCATAGTGCCATTAAGGCAAGAATTCAAGTCTCTTAGGGACAAATGCCCTCCCAAGACTGAAGTTCAAGGGAATTCACGAGCAGGCATGTAAGCTTGCTGGTGACCATGTTGGTCTACTGGGGAGAGGAAGTGGGGTGAAAAGCAGCAATGAAGAGGTGGACTGAGTCCGACCAAGTTACACAGACCCCCATTGACTTGGAGTATGGTGAGAGCCGGTTGGCCCGAAATACAGTGAGACCTGGGGACTCCTGAGCCCATGGACAAGGACCTGGCCGCTGAGGCTAGAGCCAAGAGAGTGAAGCGTCCAACTGAT